TTTGACCAAATTGCCGGCGCATGTTTTGACATGTTCTAGGCAGTTTGAGGTAAAAGAGTTAGAAATTGTGTGCGTGGAAGAGGATGCAAACTAGTGATCTCAGGTGGCAGAGGAGCTTGGGTCTGACGAGTCATCCCAAGCTTATCGAGAAGCCTTCCTTCAAGTGGCTGGGGATCTTAGCGTGAGTTTTAGAGAGGATAGAGAGGCTTGAAGCCAATCACAGTGATCAGTGATCAGTGATCAGATAGATGCAAAGGTCTAAATACACAGTAGGAACCTAACATGGTTTCTAGCTCTGGTTGCACGTGGCCTTCATTTCTTGTCAGGTAAAGAGTCACTATTGGTCATCCATTCATCAAGGCAAGGGAACACGGCACCGGCAGCCGGCAGCCCACAGTTCTTGAGAAGCTTGGTTTCTGCGTAGTCACAGGGTGGTTAGATGAAATATGCCGTACGAAATACACATGAGACAGGAAAAGAGTAAGCATGTGACATGAAAGTCATGATATGTCATGTGTGCCCAAAGAACCCAATGCCGCTCAGAACACACAAATGTCAACGCTGCGCATTTGGGTTCCTTTGAAGTCCTTTGCAGGGCTCTTGCCCCGGACGTCGCAATCAGCCCGACTTTTGCTGAGCTCCGTGGATGTGGCACTGGACACTGCCGCAGAGCTTCTTGGCCTTTTTACTTGGGAAGTTTCAAAATGTTTTGTTGCGTTCTGCGACTTCTGCATTGCATAATCTGAGCTATAGATGCAGACTCGCAGATAGCATAGCAATTCTTGGTTGGAAATCCAGCTTGAGCATTTGGCTGAGCAGCCTCAGTGTGCTAGGTCTCTTTCTGCCTCTCAGCCTGCATATAGATGGCAAAGTCCACAATGTAGCTTGCATCAAGCTTTCCAGCTAGTGTGAAGAATGGTTGAGCACAGGTCTTGTTAAAATGTTTATTTGACAAGGGGGTTGCAGTTCGACATGATTCAGTTGGAATATGATGTTGTATTATCTGAACTTTGACACTACGTGCCCCTCACAGGATTGGGAAGCCATCAGAAGTTCTTTGGAGATTCTCGGGGTGCATTGAGACCACTTAGAAGTCAACCTATGAGCCCAGAAGGTATTCAACTGTGTGTATTGCAACTCTTGATCCATGACTTCCATTGTTGCCTCAGCCTTGTTCCTTCACATCGCTGCGGGTTTTAGCTGAGCGCTGCAGAAACACTACAACCAAATTGTATTGCAAGCATATTTTTGTAATTTGATATTTGTTGGCCCACTGGCAGTTGAGCACTCAGAGAAGTCGCTTTCTCCTTCTGAGTTACTTTATGTTGGCAGTAGAGCATGAGGCATGAGATCACATGAGATCTATATGTATAGCTCCCCACAAGACACCCTTTGGGACACGCTTCCTTTCGTCGGCTGCGAGCTGGTGAAGAAGATGCTTTGTTAGCTTATGCTTTGTTTGATGTTCCGCTTTTGTGCCGTGAACCGGGTAAACGTTGACTGATGACCAAGCAGTGCATGGAAGAAGTTTGTTTCGTGATGCACGTTGAACCCGAAGTCAGCCAGTTACAATTCCTCCTTGCAATGCAAACAGAATGCACCACGTCTTTTGCCATGCTAACTGATTACCCTGAAATGACAGCCTTACTTGGCATGTTCAGCCACGTTTTTGTAAGAAATACATAGTGGAACGGGGCCTTTACCGGAGACAAATTAACAGGTTTTCTATTTTGGTCACAAGGACCTGTGTGCAGGTTTTTCTGATTTCACCACTCAACATATCTCCACATCATTCGTTTGACCCTCGCAAACCCATTCTTGAATCCTGAGCAGGTCTGAAGTGAATATGACTATCATAGAGTGCTCGAGCCTCACTCAGGGCCTCAAGCGCACCTCTTGACCGGGGACTCTTTAGTACTTTGACCGGAGAGCATTCGATGGGCGACTTCATGCAGAAAGCACATTGCGTGGCTGAGCTGGCATGAGATCCTGACATACGTCCACACATCATTATCATGTGTTGTCAGTCTTTGCATGTTCTGCCATGTTGTCCTAAAGCTGTTTTGGCTATATATATATATAATTAGACTGGAGGTGTACATATTGCAGCATACTCTTGTGGTGAGTATTAGCATAATTGTGCCATATTGCAACGCTTGTGATTGTGGGCCGAAGCGGCAAACATGTAAGCGTTCACTTAGAGAGGCTTTGTCTTTCATGGAAGCGCACAGACGTGCTCGAGAAGAATTGCCACGCCCTGGAGCTCAGTTTCGCTACCAGCCACGCTCGTAAAGTCTCATGAAGGTGAAATAAGATGCTGAATCAAACCGTCAAAGCAGACACCCAGCCTGTTTTTCTTGCTTACGGGAGCAGAGAAACTTCAGTAAGAATGCTTGGCAAGGGTGGCTCCTTAGCAAATTACGCCATACTTTCATGTGAAGTGGAACAAGCAATCATGGATGGATGCGGCCTTGTGACAGTGACGTGCCTTTGATCGTTCAATCTGAAACGGCCGACATGTCCAAGGTTTTTTCCACGTTGACGACTTGAAGGCCGTTGGAGACTCGAGACGCAAACCAGCGCGAAGTTGTTGAACGATGCAGTTAAGCGCGAGCATAAGCTTGTTTTGAATGTTTGTTTCCTTCCACAGGTGCAGCAAATGGTGGCAGAGGAGTCTTTAGCTGAGTGCTCCCAAGCACAAGAATTGCTGCAGGCTGGAAATGTAAAAAGTTTCGACTGAAGGGTGGCGGGCTTGAGTTCAAGTTGTTCCAATCCCGGCAAACTTGATGTGAAGCTTCACTGCTAAAAGCTTCATTGGTTCATTGCAGTTCGTGGAATCGATAGTGAAGCATAATGGCGGATCAGGTGGTTTTGCCCACCCTGCTACGCCAATACACGAAGCATTTCGGCAAAGCTTGCGCACGCAGTGCTGTGTGAAATTCTGATTAAAGCTGGTACGCTTGATTGTGGGCGCTCAAGGCACGTCAAGCCGTAGGCAGCAATACAACAACGGTGATGTCACCTGTGTTGCAGCTATCCAGGGCAAGCGGACACGTCAAAAGGATCAAATGATGACACCTCACAGTGGTCACAAGCTGCCACATCTAGGATTGTAGCATATGAGCGTTATGCGACATGGTCCTGCCACGGAAAGTGCAACCTCGAAGTAGGATAGATTGTGCACAAGAGCCAACTAGGCTGGCCAAGGAAACAACCTGCAGTATTGCAAGAAGCCACTGAAAGGTTATTGTAAACGAAGATCCATTAGACCTTGCCAAACCATTTAGTAATTGTTGTGCTTAAAAGAATGTGGATAGCTTCAAATGCTTTTGGAACCAGAGACTCTTTTGGATAATGTCCAAAACAGCAGTTTGCTCGCCATTTGGCCAATTCTCTCTAGAGTGTTCTCATCAAACAGTCAACCCTGCTTTGGGGACTTGATATTGGAGGGTTTGCCGATGTTGGCACTGTGGCAAGAGGGTTTGACGTAGTGATGTAGAGCTGGATGTTGAGCGAGCTTCATTGGGGCACATCATTGTTTGGCAGCACGCTTCCAAAGAGGTAGATTGGAGTGTTGTTTGGGTGGGTCCAAAAAAGAAAAGGTAAACATGTGTTCGAAGGATTGAATCTTTTGGTACTGGTACTGTAAACAAGTTCGTTCACAAGCCAATAATGTTCCTTTTGAGGCACTACCGGATGACTTGGTGGTGCTGGCAAGGACTGCATTCCTGCAAGCCATTGAGTGGTGCCAAAAAAGTGCGCAGCAAATGGAGACATCAATAGGATTCAATAGTCAATGTTTGGATTTTCTAAAGACACAAGTTGTAAAGAACACGAGCTGTGCAAAGGCACAGTGAGTTTGTTTGACCTAAGTTTGCAGTGCCTCTCAGCGAAGCGACTTAGTTTGCTTGCAAAGCCACAGGACAGAAATGTGTGCACGGAAACTTCTACAAGATCAACTCCACGAAGTTGATGAGCTGAAGGAGAAAGAGTTTAAATTTGGTGTGTTGCTATTTAGCATTCACATTGGAACAGGCACTGGACAACTTTCAATGTCCCACTGGCATGAGGAGCGTGGCCTGTTGACATCCGCAGATGCCTCAAAGCTTCTTGGCCTTCGCTTCATAGCGCAGTGAAAAGCTTGAAAGCATTTTCCACTTGGACAGAAGTATGATAAAGTTGCACTTACAGTACCGAATGGTTGGCTGTTGCAAATCTGCCAGGTTAGGACATCACGTTCAAGCAGAACTACTAACGCTTCTTCACCGGCCCAAGAATGACTGGCTCGCCTTGAAGGCTCAGACAGTTTGTTGTAAGACACATATTTATGAATGTTGTGGATGGAAGGTTTCAAGTGTAACTATGGAGCAGCGGCTGCAAGTGTTCGGCTACCTAAGCAAATGTTTAAGTTTGTAGTAGACTTAGTAGACGCTCCTTGAAAAAGCTGAGATTGATCAGAGCTGCTAGTGCTCTTCTCCACTCGCCCCGATGGACAGGCTTGACAAGCTCGACCGTAGCAGCCATGTATCACCTGAAGCGGTTGTATTTGGAAGCCCGCCAACATGCATTCGAGTTTCGTATTTGCAATGCACTGGAACCAAAAGTCTGTGTGCTCAAAGATACGTTGAGTTGCCTGCCAACATATTGTGAGAGTAGACGAGGTGTTGTATCTGGGTCATATAAAGGCAACATGCTGAGAGAGACTCTGAGACGAAGCAAGAATTGGACCAAGCTTTACGACTTTGCCCTTACTTTGGGGTTTGCTGTCCTCAACATTGTTGCATCATGATGCATCTATGTGTTGATCCGTACAGCTCATCCATTTGGCTCAGATCCAGTAGCATTTCATGATAACGCAAAGGCTGGAAAACATAGAAAGCTTTGCATATCGCAAAGACAAAAGGGTTTGCCCGACGAAGTTCTCATCAGCCTTTCGCTTTGAGAAATTTCTAGCCATGTTTGAGTGTGCACATTGCGAAAAGAGCTTCGACTCTGAGAAGGCAACTCGGGAAGTTATATATATATATAAGTTCACGTGCATGACTTGCAGAGGATGGAGGCAAAGATTCGGGACCCAAGGGATTCAAGGGACCAAGTAATTGTTGCAGATGGTGTTGGCCATGTTGAAAACGGTAGATAGCTCATGATAACATGATGGTGCTGCAAAGTGGCTTCATGTTTCAAGCATTTTGCAAGGTGTTTCTTGGTGAACTTGAGAGTCATTGTGAAACAGCTGTGATAAATAGCGCCTAGTGTCCTGGTGCTGCCCCCTGTGCAGCGAGTGCAGCTGCATTTGCGCTTCATCCATCCGAATGAGAAGACAGAGTTCAAGAAGCCAGCCGGCAAAGGCGCAGTAGCTCCCAATGCTCCCCCGAAGCTTGGCAAAGTGTGCGTGGCTATGGCAGTGTTCTACGGCTTGGGTTCCAGTTCCCCGATTGTGCTTGGCATGGTGATCTGGTGTCAAAACGTGTGAAAACTGAGGTCAAGCTGTTTCTCCTGCTTTTCCTTTCTCAGCGACAGCACGACAGATAGGCTAGATTTGCAAAGCGGAACACCGGAGAAGTGTTGTGACGCAAGTCGGGTAACAGTAGTTGTGGGTGATCACTCACATCGGTCGCCTTATGCCCTTTCATTCTCCGATCTTGGCTTTCCAGACAGTACACCCTCAAGTGTTCCTGTCGTAGGATTCTTGCGGTCAGTGGATACAACAAGTGTCTTTCTGGAATCAAGATCTTGGAGACTGAAATATACATCACAGTGATGGCACCTAGATACACCATTGGGACCATGCACGTGAATAGTCCTTGGATAGTACAGAAGCATTGTCAATTGAGAGTTCATCAGCATTTCATGTTTGTTCTTGAGTTAGATGGCAGCACGGTGACAGGGCGGACAATGTGACCCCTGGCGACGTGTCTCGGAGATGAGACGTCCAATGGACAAGATTTAAGAACCTTTTGTTTGAAAGGATATGCATATTGAGTTGCAAGAAGTTGCAATACTGTAGCATTAGGTTCCTTTTGCTAGTAGGTTGGAGGCCTCGCTATTAAGTTCCTTTTTCAATTAGGGACTGCAAAACATTGTCAGCTTAATTGAGCCAGTCGTTTAAGGATCAGCACCCCAGTGCGCACGCTGCCAAGCGTATTTTGGCCGCGTTACTTTCAAGCAGCGCAAGAAGATTTAGCTATGAGTCAACACCTTGCCACCTTTGTTTGGGCTTCACAGCCTGCCTGAAGAGTTTAAATGTTTTGTTGGCTGAATATGCAAGCGAGCAGCATCCACGAAATGAGTTCCCTTCATCGATGAGCTGTTTCAGGTGGGAAGCAAAAGACAAAGGTGGAGTACGAGAAATCCACTGGAAAAGGCTTTGGAGCCATGTGTTTTCTTGCCACAACCTTCCTGGGGTTCACATGGTTGTCTCTTGTGCGAAGTATACATTGAAGGAACAGACGTTGGTTGATCTTGAAAGAAGCGACTTCTAGGCCCCAACAGTTCTCATCCACTTCATTTAGCCCAGATCAGACCCAGTGGTGCCAAACCTGATTTTATTCCCAGCTAGCAGCAACAAAACGAGTGTTCCCTTCTGCTTGCCACTGGTGTTGCAGGGAATGCATTAGTGGACCCAGAGAACTGCTTGTGTCGCAAGGATCCGTGCGTCGCCAGATGCATATTATTTCATATCATTGTTTGCTGGGACGAAAAGTGCGCTTGGAAAGTGGAGCGAACATGTTCGTTGCAATAGAAATTTCCTTTGCCCTTCGAAGTACGAAGCGCGCACCAAGGAGTGCAGACCTTGTATGTGTGGAAGAAGCACGGTTTGTGTTTGTGAAGGGATGGATTTCTGAGAAGATTTTGTTCAGCGTGTGCAAGAAGACACTCAGCTGAGCCGAGTTATGCTCACCCGCTGGAAGCTTGCAAGCATTTACAATTTGCACTTTGTTGCATAATCATGATGTAAAATGCAGGCGCGGTGAAAGCAGTGTTCCAAATCGTTTCTAATGGCATTGAATGGCTTTTCCGCTTTTGCACTGTTGCACCAGAAATGCAAAAGAACCATTTGTTCTCTCAAGCAAGCGAGCACGCCCAATGCTGCGCGTGCGCATCAACCAAAGCGGGATGTGGACGTCAAATCATTTTAATGTTGTTGACTGTGTTTCTGGAGAACGTCCAAAGTGATTTGCATAGACTGATATAAACTGACATCCACATCTGGGAGATGTTCGCTTGAAGGCTATCCAAGGCTAAGCAGTGCTCCATTGTGTTGGAAACGTTTCCTGGCCTTCACTGCAGCGGCTCTTCTTCAAAAAGAATGCTCCACTTACATTGAATCAAGCTTTTGCTCCAGCATGCTCAGGATCTTTTTTGCTTTACAAAACTCGTGAGATGAAACCACTGGAAAAGAGCAGAGAGTAGCTTGCTTGTTCTTCAGAGCTTTAGTGCAAGCATCAAAAAGCATGGTCCAAGCCAAACATGTCTCAGGCCGAGATCAGTGGTGAACTTCACAAAGAGAGAGGCAGAAAAGAGAGATAGTTACGGGTGAGCCACATGGTGGAAGACTAAGGCTTGACTAAGGTTGTGAAATGTTCATATAGAAATGTCCCATTCATTTGCCCGTATTCAAACAGTACGTGTTGTTGAGAGGCACGCCCAGACACACACATGTTCAGCTAGTGAGTCGCCTCAGATCCCGAGCATTTAGCTGTTGCTTGCCGCCACAGTTCGCAACACCGGTTCACTCATCCTGTGTGGTTTTGAACGAGCCGCATTTTTTGTCAGGTCGGAATGAGCAGCTAAAAAGGCACCTGCTGTCGTTTGGTTGTCAGACAAGTCAAGAACCCTTGGCGATGCGATCGTTCTTCAGCACATTTCAGCACTATCCTGCACCAATCAATCATTATGCTGCAACCATATCGCTTGTGTCCAATGCGACATGAATCTTGCTTGGCAACTGTTCAAGGTACCTTGACGCCAGAATTGTCGTCCTGTTCGATTTTGCTGAATGTTCCCAGATATTACGCTCGAACTTGTCGAGAAAATCCATTGCCACCCCCTTTGTCAGCATATCGATGTGTGATTTAACAAGATGGTCTAAGTCTAGGTATGTGAATGTAAAAGTGAAACCTGTCGTAACCTTTCTGTGTGTGTGTCATGTGTGTCTACGATAGATCAGTGGACCTGACTTTCGAGGCAGCTCCGTGGTGTGACGGATGAGAGAGATGAAGCTTTAGCTCAGGACTGGAGGCGAGTCGAGCAGGCAGGACAGTATTACCTACCGTGACTTGGGCAATTAGCCCCTTAGAGACTCTTGTGTTTCAGTACTTTTTTTGTATTTGTTTTAGTACTTGCTTGCCTCAGTCATATTAAGAGCCTTGATTATTCTTGAGCGCCAGTCTGTTAATACACTTTGCAGCATTTGCTTGAAAGCCGAATTGAAAGCCAGGTGCGCGAAGAGAAGGACTCCAAAGGCCGACTGAAAGACGAATGTGACTGCCTGAATCCATCTCAATGCCATCCTGACTCGTTTTGTTCGACCTAAACCGTTCTGAATGTAACCAAGGTGAGCAACTTCGACGAATGGTGCAAGAGACCAGGCAGCATGCACATTCAGAGTTGCAGGCCAGGTGCCAAGATGTTGCCAGCCATAGCGGCCATAGCGGAAGATCCGCGCAAGGCCCAAGAAAGAGAAAGCCAAGCAGAAAAGCAAAGGCTTCAGGACATCATCAACGAATCAACCATGAGTCACAACAGTAGATTTGACACAAGAGCATAGTAAGGGGACTACTGACTCCGCGGCAACAAACAAGTGTGTGCTTTGCTGATAGGAACTGAACCTCTACATGGTTCCATGTGTCCTGTTTGTAATGAGGGTTCATTGGTGGAGGAGAGCCTTCACCAGCAGAAAGAACTCCTGGAGTCAGATTGCAATCAGATCAGGACATGATTGGCTTCGAATGCATTGGGTGTGCCACAGAACATCAAGTTGCTTGCTGCCTCAAACTGTTTGTTGGTCGAGGAGCGAATTGCAGCAGCAGTACAACTGCAATTTGGAGCTCAAGCAGCAGGCACCAAGATGTCAACATGCTCTCATGTGTCCTCCCATCATGATAATGATAAGGGGATTTTGCCAGAAGGTCAGAAGCTACGGCCAAAAGCCATGTAAGATGATGTTAGTTGAGTTGAGTTTCAAGTTCAAACAGTTGATAAAGGATGGCCTCGTCAAATTTGTGCGTTTCCAGGAGCAGCTTCACTTGGCCAATTGCAACAAACTTGTTCTGGAGATACAGGACATCCCGAACTGGCATTTGACAAGTGGTTAATGTTATTACAGAATAAGCGTGATTGAACAGACGTTTAGTGGTTGGCTCGTCGCAAGTTTTAACGTTCACAACAGAATCTAATAAGCTGTTGAAGCTATTCATGCAAATTTGCGAGGGCTTTGTGTTTATAACAGTCTTGATCATTCAGCTTCAACCTTGATTTTGCCTTCACCCAGACCCATGCACAAGGAGCTTCAAGACCAAAGGAGATGTGGAGCTACACTTTGCTTTGTCCTTCTCTTTTGTCAAAGCCTCGACTGTATTTGTATATAATCTTCGGTGAATTGCGTTGTTGCATTCTTCCATATTCTTCCTCAAATATATCCCCTTTCATCCTTTCATTATATATGCCACAGCGGCTTACCCACCAGGAGACTCAAGGAAAGTGCTGAGGCGCCTCTATTGCGTTGAGACGGTGAGAATGAGGGTAGAAAAGAAAGAGCAAAAGAAAGATCAACGAGAAAAGAAAGACGAAGAACTCAACGCAAACATCGAGACATGGAGACTGAGCGAGCACGCAGAAGTAGATGCTTGTTAATGGTTTTTTCAAGGGGGGTGTAGGCTGTGACCAGGCAGGGGAGGAGCAGGAAGAGCTAAGGGGAGCTATATAATACGAAACGGTAACGACAGAAAGCTACGACAAGAATTAAGATATCTTTAGATGCTGTAATCACGACAGGAAGATCTAGGGAAACTTATGTAATTAAGTCCAAGACGCCAGGAGCAAGGAAAGCCCAGAGGAAGACTGAGATGTTGTGAGGAATTTGGTTTAAGCACTTTAACGTCCTGTCACTTCACCTAACTTAAAGAACTCAAACTTAGTTGCTCAATTCAACAAAAGCCTGTAAAATGTCAAGCAAGATGAGGGCACTTGGAAATGTAAGGTGTCAAAAAGCCTCACCAGATGACCGAACATCCAATCAGCCACATGTGAAGTCTTATGCCACCATTGACTTCATGGTGCTTAGCCGCCCCTAAGAGTACAGAATGCTCGGCTGTTTGTTGGATTGCATACTGTAGGCCTACTGTGACTTAAAGTTGGCTCGCAACTTTTTTGACATTATGTGTTGTGCAATTGAACAACAAGTGGTATTGACCACCAGGCAGAGACAAAAGAGCTGCCGTGGGCCCAGAGTTTCCCACAAGCTGGTGTGGTTTTGCGAGTGAAGTGCTAAATGACACAGAGAAGGACCACTGTGAGGACCAATCACCCAGTCCACCTCAAATGGGCCCTGAGACCTGCAGGGAGACAGTGCTCGTCAAACCTGAGATGTATATTTTGTGTCGAGTCCTTTTGCCTTTGCACACTGCGGAGAGCCTTTCAGAACTTTTTTGTTTCTAACTACTGTATGAAATCTAGTTTGAGTAGAAGCTTAGCTCCTCGCAAAACAGAGAACTAAAGGTTCTAAAGCACGTCCGATGTCCACCGCGTCCAGGCGCTCAGAGCTGCAGACGCTGAGGGCACAATGCGCACAGCAAGCTGCGGCTGCTTCTGCTGCAGCACTTGATCAACGCAACCAGCCCAGAACTCGGAGCTGTTTGAAGCACCGCATTACCCTGGGTTACGTATATTGGCATGGGTGTAAGGATCTTTGTACATAGGACGCTCAGATACAACAGCTGGTATATGATGAATTTGGTGATGTGTTTGTCGTGGTGTGGTTGGCAGCAAAATATCAAGACTTAGAAAAGCACAGAGTCATGACCAATGTCACGCTCACATGTTCTTGCAATATTCCTGTTCCGAAGAAAGGTTGATTAATCATATTTTATATATATAGCGAGAGAGAGAGAGCTCTTTTCAACCTAGAATTTGAGGCGTGTTCTTCACAAGCAGCAGCTGGACAATCTGCCACTTCCCTGGAATTTGACAGCATTGCATTGTCACAGCCGACAAGTCCAAACAGTTCAATATGGAGTGATTCACGCTGTATCAGTTGGGACAGCGTGCGAGTGACCTCATACCTGCGCAAGCTTCTCATGTAGATAGAGACTGCCTGAAGCTTCAGCTTCCATGACTTGTCAACTGCGGCGTTTGCCATTCACTTAAGTTGGAGACTTTCCAAGGAATGAAGAACACAATGCTCGGTTGCAAGCGCTGAACCAGCAGGATGCTGAGGAAGAATTTGCAGAATCGGACAGACCTTTGAGACGATCAGAGAGGGCCGACTCTGTCGTCGCCATAAGGCAACATATGCAGCAGCTAACCGTGCAGCAGCACATGCTGGATCCAGAAAGGCCCCGAAAAGATGTGAGCATTACCAACAAGCTTGTACATGGAAAGCACAAGATATTCCAATGTTGATCACTCTTGTAATTTTGACTGTCACAAGTGAAAACGACCTAACCTAAACAAATAACCCTTTCGGTTCAACTGGCGCTCACTTGCATGTTTGCTTTGGATGTCATGCTACTTGGAGTTTGCCCAACAAGTTCTGTCACTAGCTGACACAGTAGCACCCAAGCAGGGCTTCAAGAAGTTTCCGTCAGATTGAATGTAAGGTGCTGGCTGACAAGTTGCTATGGTGAAACTCAGGCTGTCAACTCTCGTGGACGATTTGATGGATGAGATCAGTTGTGGAGCTCTTGGGTTCTCAGGTCATTTCGAGCTTTTGCATAATTGAAAGTCTTCAATTCCCAAGTTTCAGGGTTCTCAGGGTTTTGTGTTTTGAGCACTTTCGAGGCCTCCGAGAACATGCCACAGAGAAGCGGATGCACCTTCAAGAGGCCTTGGGATAATGTGGTAGCCTAAATCAAGAGTTTCGGATTCATGCTGACCTCTGGCCAATCAATTGTCGGACGAATGCCGTCACGTTTGTTGATACCCTTGGGCAATCTCGTT